TTTGTGTTAGTTTAGGTAGGTAGTGAGTTTCTAGAAATTTGTCCATTTCCTCTAGGTTTTCAAATTTGTTAGAGTACAATTTTTTATAGTATTCTTTGATGATTCTTTTAATTTCAGTTGGGTCTGTTGTGATATCAGCCATCTCATTTCTTACACGGTTTATTTGCTTCCTCTCCTGTTTTTCTTTTGTCAGTTTGGCCAATGGTTTATCAATTTTGTTGATCTTTTCAAAGAAGCAGCTTTTGGTCTTGTTAACTCTTTCAATTGGTTTTTCTATTTTCTATTTCATTTAGTTCTGCTCTAATTCTTATTATTTCCTTTTTCTGGTGGAAGGCTGTACTCTTTATGGAAGAAGACTGTCATATCTTTCTCCCATGGAGTGGCTGGTGGATTTGAACCACCAATCTTTCAGTTAGTAGCCAAGTGCTTAACCACTGTGCCATCAGGGCTCCTTCTAAAATGTATACATAAATATAAATGGCCGAGAGTAATCCAAAGAATCTTAAACAGAAGAACAAAGTTGGATGATTTTCTCAATTTGTTTTCAAGATTTATCATAAAGTTACAGTCACCAAAACAGTGTGTTTTGGTATAAGGAAAGACAAAGAGGTCAATGGAGGAGATTACGGAGTCCAGAAATAGTTCCATACTTACTAGGTCAATTGATATTTGTCATTTCCAACAGTTTTTGGATAGTCTGTTACCTTTTTTTTGGGTCTTTTTTCTCTTAAGTTTGCTTAAATTTTCATTGAAAAATCTTCAGCTCACTAATTCTTTCCTCGCCTGAGTCCAGTCTATTGATGTGCTCCTCAAAGTCATTCTTCAATTCTCTTACAGTGTTTTTGATTTCTATCGTTTCCTTTTGATTCTTTCTTAGAGTTCCATCTTTCTGCTTACATTACCCATCTTGCATGTTGTTCACTTTTTCCATTAGAATTCTTAGCATATTGATTACAGTTATTTTAAATTTCCAGTCTGAAAATTCCAAATCTCTACCGTATCTGAGTCTGGGTCTGAAGCTTGCTCTGTCTCTTCTGATTGTGTTTTTAGCCTTTAAGCATGCTTTGTAATTTTTTGTTGAAAGTCAGACATGATGAATCAAATCATAGCAATGAGATAAACAGGATTTTGTTGTGAGGTTTTATTTTTATTTGGCTAGAAGTTAGTCTGTGTTTAATATTTGCTATAGCTGTAGGGTGTCAGTGGCTAAAATTTCTCCTGGTGTCCTTGTTTTTGTCTCCTTGTCATCTTAAGTTATCCTAGAAACTCCTTTTTAGGCAGGGTCTGAGCCTTGCCATGCTTTTCAGTTGTAATCTACTGTTATTTTACAGGAACCCTACTGATGTGATGGTAACATGTGGGAGAGGAGAGAGCATTCCATAATTGTATGATTAGGTCTCAGTCTTTTAGTGTTCTCCTTGGCTGTGACCTTCACAAATCCGTCTCAACTTTTTAAATTTTCACCTCTTAGTTGAGGTAGGAAGTCTAGAGGGGGCTGGGGATGAGTATTTACCTTCCTCCAAGTCAAAAACTAGAGGGGGCTGGAGTTGGGTATTTCTTTTCCTCCACAATGATTAAAAAAAAAACAAACAAACCCAAATCCATTGTTGTCGAGTTGATTCCAACTCTTAGTGACCCTATAGGACAGAGTAGAACTGCCCCGCAGGGTTTCCAAGGAGTGGCTGGTGGATTCGAACTGCCAACCTTTTGATTAGCAGCCGTAGCTATTAACCACTGCACCACCAAGGCTCCGCATTGGTTAGACTCTGATAAAAACCCACATTGGTGAAGCACTGGTAAAATAATTTCCCTTGAGGTAAGACATTATTAAGGAGAAGAGAGCTGACTACACTTATATCAGAATGGTTACTTTTCCTTTCTCTCTGCCAGAAGCAAGAGGGAATTTTTCTTCAATCTTCACACTGAGAATTTGGTGGAGTCAGTTTAAGATAGTGACTCAAATCTGTAAAAAAGAGATTTGACACAGGCTTGATCTAACAATCCATCAATTTATTTATTCCTTCATCAAGGTGTTTATTCAATACACATTTATTAAGCTAGGGAGATATCACAAAGCCTGCCAAATTTAAAGAGCACTACTTTTTTTGGGTTATACTGAACTTTAACTATTTTAATTATACTGAGACAGAAATTGTAAGGAAGAGACCAAAAAACCTGCCTAAAAGATAACATGCTTTTAGTTTCTATCAAGTGCAGTGACCGAAGAAATTTAGATGTTTTCTGAGCTGTTTTCAGCCTTCTGCTGAAGCTGGGATTCTTCAAAAGTGGGACCAGTCATGGAATCCAGCATCAGCAATACTCATGTGGTGATAGGGTGGAGGTCCCAGAGTAAGGCAGTCCTTGAGACACTGCGTTCAGTGTTTGTTTAACAGGTATTGTCTTGCTTAATCTTCACAAAGAGGAATATTACCTTACCCATTTAAAGAGCAGGGGCATGAGGCTAAGAGAAATTAATAAAATCTCTCAAGGTGATAGGGGCAAAGTTGTTTCCGAAGCCAAATCTGTCTGAAAAAGCAGAACCTCTCAAGCACTACACCACACTGCTCCCTGACATCTCGATGATTTCTTGAGTAAGGCTTCCTCCAGGTTCATCTACCTCAGGAGTGTCCTGCAGGGCTTTCTGGAGAACCACCCTGATGGTCTGTGGCAACTGCTGCCGGTTCCCCCGCTGTCTAAAGGAGCCAACAAAGAAGTAAATGATGGGGTTAGCACTGCTGTTAACACAGGACAGGAAAACTCCAACCAAATAAAGATAACAAAGGAACATATCAAGATAATTGTGAGTCCAGATTAATAGGAACCAACTGATGCCGTAGAGCAGACCACAGAGAAGGAAGACCAACACTGTGAGCACGGTGGTCACATAGAGCCTAGTCAGCTGCATCTTCCGGGAGCTATAGAGGATTCTGCTCAGCAGGGCCAGGCTGGACCCAGAGAAGACCACAAATAAAAATATCAGCCATGCAGCAGTGATGAAATCAAATGCCTGACACCAACCATGCTTAAAGTCCGTAAACAGGAAGCCACAGTAGTTCCCCTCCAGGATGCTCAGCAGCAGGGACAGGGTCCAGAGCAGGGCACACATGACAGCTGATGTGTGCCTTGGGTGGTGGCAGCGGTACCAGATGGGGCATAGGACAGACAGGCAGCGCTCGGTGCTTATGATGCTGAGAATGCTCATGCTTGCAATGTAGGCAAAGGATGACACAGTGTTGAAGAAGTAGGGGATGAAGATGGAACTAGAATGTAAAAAGTCAATAAATTCCTTCAGGGAATCTGTAACATGGCAGCAGAGGAAGAGGAAGTCAGCCCCAGCCAGGTTGAGGATGTAGACAGAAAAGGCGTTCTTCCGCATGTAGAAGCCCAGGAACCAGAGCACAACCATGTTTCCTGCCAGCCCACCAAGGGCAATGATGAAGATCAGCAAGCGTGGTGTCAGGGTCTCCACATTACAAGTTAGAGAAGAGTATCATCACTTCCATTCAATGTTGTGAGATCAGTCCCGAGGGCTGGGATAGTTGGATCCATGCTCAGAAACTCTCCGCTGGTGCCCCTGGGAATACACACAAGACTTGAAACACCTGTTGATTCATCACTGGCTCTCATAACCACCCTGCTATGTGGGGATTATTGTCCCCATTTTTCAGAGGAGGAAAATGGAGGCTTGCAGAAGTTAAGTAATTTTTCAAGGGACTGGGAGTCATGGAACCTGGGTTCAATACCAGTTCTTGCAGACTTCAACTCTGGTCTCTCCCTGCTTGCCACTAACATGAGACTATTCTATGACAGAACCTCCCCCCACACACCTTCCTGAGGCCACGTCGTGTCCCCAGTCGTTAAGGAGGCAGAAAGAGAAAATCTGGGAGAAGCTCTGTGGAACAGACACAGCACTCTGGGTTAAGCATTCCTGCTGTGCTGGGACAGAGTTTTCTTCTCACAGGCAAGAAGTTGGAAGTTCTTCTCTTCATTGACTAAGAGTGTCCATCCACCAGGGGGAAGAACACCATGCTTTAGGGACCTGAGAGGAATGTGACGACTTGCTATACAGATGTGAGAAAGGCTAGTTTTCTCGGGCTACAAATGGCTCAACGTGTAATCTTTATGAGGAGAGGAAGCACATTTTTTCTTCCATTGTGTGTTCCCAGTGCCTAGTTCTATGTGGGGGACACAGTGAGTACTGATGAAATTTTTAATAATGAAATGAATAAATGAAAGAATGAATGGGAAGCCTAAGGATAGTGAAAATTTGGGGTTAATAAAAAAAATTTTTTAATGAAATTAGTCACTAGAAAACATACAATGTAAGGAAATGAAAAGAGATTCATGTATCATTATTCCTTCTGTTTAAAGCTCTGTGTTTGTTTGAAAGAATTACTTATGCCTGCACAAATAGACAATGGTGGCCACCCTCATGCATTCAAACTGCACAGGGCCAGCAAATGGCTTTACTGAGCAGCTAGAAGAATTTAGAAGGAGGGTTAGGGCTGAACTGAACTTCCCTGCATTTTACAGAAGAAAGGGGAAAGGTTGGAAAGGAAGACAAAGAGGCAGCAATGCACTTGAATAGAGGTAATTGAAGCATGGATATATCTAAGGGGGATTATTAATAAGTTTGTTAGAAAGTGTGCAATATAAACCCACCCAATCTCTCCCCAAGGTGATTTCAAGTAGTTTGCTTTGCTGATTTAAGTATTTGTGAAAAGAATTCTTGGGGATGGGAAATTGAAAAAATACCCATTTCTATACTTTGCAGGGCTTTGTATGAAATGACAGATGTGCATGTGAATTTCAACTTAAGAAAGTAGACTAAATCACATCAGGGTGAATAATAGCAGGTGATTGAGTGCTTATCAGGTATTATCTCTTTTAATCCTCTTAAGACCTCAATGAGCTAAGTACTGTTATTGTTTCCATTTTACAGATAAGGAAACTGAAGCACAAGCAGGTTGAGTGATTAGCTGCACGCCTCATGCAAACAAGTGGTTGATCCTGGATGTGAACCCACAGCTCTGAGTCATTCTCTTAACCAATCCTGCAGACCCACTGCCAATGTAGGGTGTTCATTATACGTGGAAAGGGGAGGAAAAGCATGCAAGTAATGCACAAGTCAAATCCCAAATGGAATATCAAAAATATGGGTTTTTTTTTAGTCTAGATTAATTAAATATCAACAAGAGCAAGGAAGAGATAGCAGTCACATAAGGAGAAAAGGAGATATGAGTAGAAGCCAACTAGAAACAAGCAAATGACTATAGTGGCCCTTTTCTGCCTCACAGAAGGCCGCCCTCGCTCCAGAGTGCTGGGGACTCTCAGGGCAGGAGCCACCAGGTGGAGAAAGGACGCGTGCTCCTTTAGGGGTGCAGAGACTGAATGAATCCATCATGAGCTTTCCTAGTTCCCAAGGCATAGTTGGTCTGATGAGGAGATGGGAGGAAAACCACATCTGTTGCCCTCTTAGAGCACTTCGGGCCTTTTCTTCCTGAAACTTAACACAGCTTGCAATTCTGTATTTTCTGTGAATGTCTTTGTCTCCCTCATCAAACTCAAAGCCCTAGAATGCTTAGATCATGCTTGGTTTTTTGTTTGTTTATTCACTATTATATTCCCAGCATCTAACAAATGTTTCTTAGAGCATCTACTGTAATATCGCCATTAAACAGAGGAAGAAGCAGAGGATTAAAGAGTCCAAGGGACTTTCCAGGATCACACAGTGAATAGCGGGTCCAACACCAGCCCCTGGACTTTTGGACCTCTGTCCTGGGCTTTTCCACTGCTCTATGCAGCATCATTCATTATTTGTGAGGAGCTCCCAAAAGAATTCTTAAGTGAATTCTTTAATTCTTCAGTGCGCATATATTTGAGGGAGAATCAGAGGGTATAGGAACTGCTACTTGCTGTAAATACACATTCTTCTGTTCACTTGCATAATAAATAATTCTGAGTTTTAAACCACAAACAGGACCACTGCCCCAGCCTTCTTGATGCTGGATGGCACCACGTGACTAGGTGCCGGCCAAAGGAAGGTGAGCAGAAGTGATTCGGCCAACACAGGGTCATGCCTTTAGTGGGAGGACTGTGACCTTCCCTGCTGTTCCTTTTCCCCTCTGGCTGGAAAGCTGCTGTGGCCAGAAGCCATCTAAGACAACAAGATCTAAGATGGGGGGAGCAGCAAAGTTGGAAGGAGCCCTGGTCTCTGACACCTGGGAGCTACCAGTCCAGGTCTTCCTGATTTAAAACCCCAAACCAAATCCTTTGCCATTGAGTTGATTCCGACTCACAGCCTGATTTAAGTTGCTATTATAATGGGTCTCTCTTAGAGCAGACTAAATCATAAAATTAAAATACTTATAAATACCTGTGTAAGCCCCTCCTCCTTTTTTTTTTCTTACTATAGTCCATTTTAAAGGTATTTATGAGGATAGTGAGAGATTTTTCCAATAACGTGACACTAAATAAAGGAAGTGCAAACAAACAAACAAACAAACCCCAAATCCTTAGGAGATACAACGAGAAACTGATGCAAGCACATGAGATAAAGTCCCAGGAAATACAAACCAAGAGGAGGATGTAAGAAGGTGTGATAGATTTTCTGCTCTTGCCATCAAGACCTCCTTTCCCTCCCTCTATAGCCTGTTCTAGGTCCCAGGAGGAGCAAACTCTCTCTGTGTCTCATCCATGGGCTCTCTTCCCTACTGGCTCCTAGTTGAGTTCAGTCAAAGGGAGACACTGAGAGGAGATTGAGGGCAGGAGGAGAGGGGTTTGGGAGTTTTTAATTTCCTGGCTCTCTCCCTGCTAGGCTGTTCTTGGCAATGGCAGTGCCACTCTATTTAAGGACATAGCCCCTGTCTGGTAACCTTTTCCTACAGCTACAGCTACCACTACCACTACAGATATCTCAAGTTCTGGTAACTTCTTACTCCTTCAGGCCTAGCGATGGCAACAGTTCCCCGCTATCACTTGCTTTTGGGAGCTTTACCATACTTATTGGTTTCCCCTATCGATGCTCACACCCTGTGAACAGTTCGTTCATTAAATTCTCCTCAGTTATTCCACTAGACTGTGCCTGTGTTACCTGCTGGGACACTAACAGATGCAGTGATACAAATGAAATAACAAATAACAAATAAAAACCAAACATTTGCATAGCAGGCATATCTGTGATATTTGAGGTTGTTAAGAGAAATTTAGATTTGGGAAGCAATGACTGCATGCCATCTTGCCCCCTAAATTAAAGTTATCAAAATATTTCTACCTGTAGTTGCAAATTTGAATGGTTGGAGACAAAGGGAGGCAGTAGGGAGGTAGAATAAAAATGAAAAGAACCTGGTTGATCCCATTCAAATCTCCCACAGTCTAAGCTGCCAGCACCCAGAGCTCCCATGAAGGAGTTACATATCCCCTGCCTCTTCCTGATGGAAGCCCATGACTCCCTACATGCCCAACCCCATCATAGCTTCAAGAGATTGTGGGATTACAGGGAAAAACCAGGCCTGGATTTGGAGGAAGACGGTTCTTGAGAAAACTATTACCTTGGCATCATTTTTCTTTCTGGAGGAGGTAAGTAGAAAAGGATGAGCTTTCCTGGGATACACGAACACCAGAAGATGCTTTTCTACCCCCTGCATGGGGAGATGCCTGCAGGAGCTGGAGTGAAACCTGGTGACTGAATGAGGCTTATCAAGATGCTGGACAGCCCCCGTGATTTCCTGTGCAGGGGCCCACTGGCAAATGAGGATCTGGAGGCGTGTAAGGCAAGAAACCTCAGAAGATGTTTCTCAGCTTTTGCCCTGATTCCAGTCATGTGTTTTGGCCTCTGCCATTCTACCCCATCTTGTCCCCACCCTACAAGGAATCACTATCCTGCAGCCTTTCACTGCTCTCTGATCCGGGTGGGAAGCAGACCCACCAAGCAATGTGGGCTTTCATAGCTAAAGATTAGTCTGCCCTTCTCTGCTTGGCAGTCAAGGCCCCACACATCCTGGCCCACTAGATCTTTATATATTTAATCACAGAAGTAATGTGTGCACATTAATTTTATTTCAAGTGACACAAAGCAGGATAAAATGAAACGGAAAGGCTCTCCTAATCTCATTCCCCAGTAGCAACCAATGTTTATTTTCCATTCTTAATTCTTTCAGAACTCAATTTGTACAATAAAACTGCATTTCTATTTTTAATTATCAATATTACCAACAGAATATATTGATTCCCTTTGTAAAAGATGAGGGTTTAGCACACTCCACATACTGTCACCTTCCTTTCTCTACATCATGGTTTTGTTAGCTAGATTATTTTCAGATCATCTAGAACCAGCCAATATACTCAGCCTTATCTCTTACGACTTCCTTTCACGTGCCTATGCTGCAGCCAAATTGAGTTATTTGTCACTTTCCTTAAAAACTCCATTTTAACTATCAAGTATTTAAAACAATCAGATAAATGTATTCACTTATTTATTCATTAACTCAACATTATTTATTGAGTGCCTTCAGTGTTCCAGGCACTGTTCCAGGCACAGTGAAGACACA